GACTAGTATAAAATATTTTTTGAGGCTTTGTCCATCTGTTTTATAATAACGAAAAATTTTAAGGAAAACCAGTTAGAAGAAGAACACTAGTTGTGATACACCCTGTATTAATTTATAAACAGACTTCACTTACGAATTTTTTTCTCAGAAACTACTCAATCGATTTAGCTAAATTCTTTTCTGTTTTATTCATGAAGAATTGGGCTGGTATAAAATATTTTTTGAGGCTTTGTCCATCTGTTTTATAATAACGAAAAATTTTAAGGAAAACCAGTTAGAAGAAGAACACTAGTTGTGATACACCCTGTATTAATTTATAAACAGACTTCACTTACGAATTTTTTTCTCAGAAACTACCCAACCGATTTAGCTAAATTCTTTCTTGTTTTATTCACAAAGAATTAGGTTATTTTAAAATCTTTTTTTTAGTTTCGTCAATTTATTATAAAATTTTGAAAAATTTAAACGAATCCTGATTTTGCATTTATTCAATGAGGGACGTAAAGGGTTTAAATCTTTAAAAAATATTTAGTACTTGCAATTTTTGCAGAAATACATCACTCCAAATAACATAGTTGAAACAAAAACCTTGATAAAATATAGCTATATTACATTACAGATACGCGAAAAACTAGTTAATTAAAAATTTCATAATACCGAAAGTTTCAACAAGATAAAACTTTCCCCGAACAAACTTTAATCGAACATTTCTTAATTCCTCGACAAGCCCCTTCAATTACAAGTACACGTACGATTGATATTTGCCTGTGCCACTTTTTTTAATTACCCGAACAAGTCGAATACGAAATTTATTTCTGAACAAACTTTCGCAACAATTCGCACATCTCTTCGCTAAACGACATATAGTAAGAATATTGTTGGTATATTTGGTGTTTAACTTGATAGCGGGTTGAATGAATTATTGATGACGCTGCGGTGGATGTGATCGTGTGTTGCATACGCCGCGCGCGTTATGTCATCTCTTTTAATATATGCAAATGACTAAAGCGACGCCGTTATCGTAGACTTAACCATGACTGCGATTTGTTCGAATCTACGACAGAATAAGTCCGTGAAAGATTTGGATTGAATGGTTTCTTAGAAATTTTGTTCTATCGACTGTCGATTAGGTGATTAGTGATGCTTTGGAATAAATGAAAGGTGAATTGCGTGTGGAGAGCTTGTAATCGATTTGTGAAGGTGGGAGGATACAAATAAAATGGGTTTATAATGCATCTAAACAGTGCATTTAAATAATAATTTGATAATACATCTGTAGCTTAAAATTAATAAATTTTGGTTCTGAATTAACAATGGTAAATATTGTTTTGTATTAATTCATAGTAAAAATAATAGTAAATGTATTGTACTATTTAATAGTAAAAATAATGTTAAATATACTGTATAAATAGTATAGTGTAACTGTACACCCACAGTCAAAAATTAATACATTTCGATTAGAAAATTATAAATAATAAAAAATGATAAATATTGTTCTGTATAAATTCATAGTGAAAATAATGTTAAATATACTGTATTATTTAATAGTAAAAATGATACAAAACAATAAAGAAAATGCAGAGATACAATAGTAGCAAAATATGGTGCAGTCTCGTTATATGGCCCAGATTTTAGAAGGGTAGTTTTCGAATCTTCAGATTTGAAAATTTTTATGTTTTCAAGTCGATAAACTCTAAAATTTAGAAATTTAGGGGTATAGACATATTTAGATTTATAGATTTAGATATTTGTGAATTTAGAAATGTGGAAATCTAGAAATTTAGCAATATTAAACTTAGAAATTTAGAAATTTGGGATTTGGGATTTAGAAATCTGACAATTCAGAAATTTGAATAATATTGAAATTTATAGATTTGGAAATTTGGAAATTTAGAAACTTTTGACTTCATAAATTTAGAAATTTACAAAATTTATAAAGTTGAAAATCTTGTAATTTAAAAATCTATAAATTCAGAAATTTTGAAAGTTAGAAATTTGTAAATATAGAAATCCTAAATAGTAGAAATTTAGAAATCTGAAGATTAGACATTCAAACTGGAAATCTCTAAATATGGAAACGTGGAAATTTAGAAATCTCTAAATATAGAAACGTGGAAATTTAGAAATCTCTAAATATAGAAACCTAGAAATTTAGAACTCTCTAAATATAGAAATCTAAAAATGTAGAAATCACTAAATATAAAAACCTTGAAATTCAAAAACCTCCAAATATAAAAACCTTGAAATTTAAAAATCTCTAAACATACAAATCCATTTTAGAAATCTTTAAATACAGAAATCAATAAGTACACAAAACCATAAATATAAAAATTTATAAACCTAACCTAACCAAATCAAAAAATATCAAATCACATTTCAAACACCACATTTCAAATTTCCCTCCACTCCCTCCACCTCCACATCCACCTAACTTCATACCAGAAATTAATCATAACCAACTGCTTCCTCCACAAAAACGCAATTCCAAGACATATCAACAAACCTCGCACAAACACGTAAACGTACAATGTCTCTGGGAGGCCCAAGAATTCAATAAGGCGAATGGAAACATCATAAAACTTTTACGATACTGCCACCGAAAAATATTGACTGCAGTAATGCAAGCACATATTCCTTTACGCGCGCCATTTCTCTCCGGGACACGAACATTTCATTATGCGAATAGCAACATTTTTGTTATTAGTTCCGCTATTCATTGTTTAATAAAACTTGGAATAATAAAATAAAATTCGGAAGTTGTTTCTGAATTTACTTCGAATTGCTTTCTCGATAGCCTGGTACCGGCAGTTTTACTGGCCAGATGTTTGCGAACGGTATAATCGTGCACTTGCAAAAATTCGCACCGAGTTAATTGTTTATTTACTCGAGACCCATAGAAAGTCCGCGTGTTTGTGCAAAATATAATCGTTATCGTCGCGGAAATCGCTATCAGCAATAGGTCAACTGTTTCTTAATTTTCATACTTTCTAATTCCTTTCTTTTATATCCACGATTTATTGCACTTTCTAAATTACAAATTACCGTAGTAGACATTTGTAATTACACTGTTTCTGTTAGCATTATTAGAAATTTGTTAAAGAATTACATTCGAATTTTAGAAGAATTTTATTCGAATGAAGAGAATGTGTTTTTTAGCACAATCAATCTTGAGTTTTAGAGCAATCTAAAAGAAGGTGCTTTTATCGAACGATTCGACTGAAGCTTCGATTGCTCGACCTCGGTTGGAAGAAAAACGTGCACACGTACGTTTGAAATTAGTTACAGACCGGATTAGGTCTAGTGGGCGTTTCAATCAGTCACCAACCGTTTCAATGGCGACATTAGCGAAGGCAAGTAGCCGAGACGCGATTGTTTCCGCTTTGAAAATAATTTCCCTAATAATTAGTATAATGTGGCACCGATAGGGCGTTCAGATATTCTTACAAATATATTGAAACACGATTCTTTTTCATAGAAATGACTCATACTAATCAAATCTGGCAAATCTTGGAATCATCAAGTTTTTGCATTTCAATTTTAAATTATTAAATTTCTAAATGTTCCTAGAGTTGTAAATTACTATATTTAAAAATTCTGAAATAGAATTGGATTATAAAATTTTTAGAATATCACATTCCTAGGTGACTAATTCTCTAGATAGTGAAATTACTATAACTACAATTTTTTGAATACTAAAATTACTGAAGCCTAAATTCCAAATTTTGTCTAGTAAAAATTCCCTAGATTTTCCAATACATACGCCAAAAATTCCCTGGATACTTAAATCCTGAAGTGAAAATTCCCTAGATACCCAAATCTTTGCACCCCTAATTCTCTAAATACCAAAATTCTTAAAGCTCTAAATTCCTATTTTCCCAATTCCTTTGAGCAAAAATTGCCTGGATTCCCTATTCCATACGTTACGAAATTCCCTAGATCTCCAAATAAATATGTTCTGAAATTCCCTAAATCCCCAAATAAATACGTTCTGAAATTCCTTAGATCCCCAAATCAATGCGTTCTGAAATTCCCTAAATCCCCAAATCAATACGTTCTGAAATTCCCCAAATCCCCAAATCAATGCGTTCTGAAATTCCCTAAATCCCCAAATTAATTCGTTCTGATATTCCTTAGATCCCCAAATCAGTACGTTTCGAAATTCCCTAGATATCCAAATGCGAATGTTCCTAAATTCCCTATATTCCTAAATCCCTAGAATTCTAAATTCCAATATTCCCAAATTCACATTACCCTATAGACCCAAAAAAATAAAATAAAGAAATTAAATCCTGAAATACCAAAATTCCCAAATCCTCGAATCTTCCAATTCTCAAAAATCAACCCACAAATACTAAAATTACCCAAATTCCCAAACCTCGATTCCCAAATTCCCAAACTATCACTTGCTAATAGAACGATCCCTGACCCAGGCAAAACAAGAATCCCAACCACGCCAATCCACATATCACCACTTCCCATTACGACAAAAAAATCCCCAGAATCCGGTTAATCTAATAAACGAAACTTATCCAGTCGCTATCATTAACCAGAACATTCACGCTAAACAGCAGTCGCTATCATTAACCAGACCATTCCCGCTAAACAGCAATCGCTATCATTAATACGAATCCCGACGATTAAGCATTCCCCGCTATCAACGCTCCCCGATAAGAAGCAGAAATTCCCAAATTTTTTCGTGCGAATGAAAACACATACGTCGATTTCACCGAACGGGTGAGCAAGAAAATAACCGGGAACGCCGTTCGCGGAACTGGAGACGAAGAAAAGGAAGATAAAGAAGGAGGAGCCGATAAATAGACACGATGTGGACGCAATCAGCGGCTGACTACGCCGCGAACTTCCGGTTTCCCGTGTCTCCGGCTGGTACTTTTAGAACACCCGATAAACAATCCCCCATAATAGATCCCGCGGACCGTAGAGACCCGCTAGATAGACTTTTGATCCCTTAATGGTATGCTGATGGAGTGACGCTCTGCTAACTCCGTCTACGAGCGGATTGCATCGTTCATCGGATCTCCTCGTCGTTTTTTCTCTCTCGTTCCAGCAAACGCGTTCAGCCGAACTAATGACACGTGGCACGCGCCACGGAAAATCTTCCGACCAAGAACACGTCGGAATTTCAGTGTTTAACGACGGTTAAAGAGGGTTCCAACGGTTTTACGAGGATCGAGAAAGCGTGTTTGGACGATCGAACACCCGGGGTTTCTCTCGGAGATCTTTTACGAGATACTCTTCATTACGGATTTCGAGGTAATTCGATATTTTGCGACGGGCAATCAGAGTGATTGCGGAATTTACTCGGTTGATGATGTTTCGAGGTTAGGTAGCTCCTTGTCAGCCATTTGCTGCATTTTGTGGTTCTAGGTTTCTCATGTTATTTTATAGGGTTGCAATTTTCTATTTCTTATTTTAGATCTCTAAATTTTCAGATTTTGCAATTTTCTATTTGTAATTTTAGATATCTAAATTTTTAGGTTTTGCAATTTTTCTATGTCTCAAAATTTTTTTGTACATTAGGTAATTTTATGTCCTTAAATTCTTAGGTCCTAAAATTACTTCTCATGTGTCTTCATTACGGATTTCGAGGTAATTCAATATTTTGCAACGGGTAATCAGAGTGATTGCAAAATTTACTCGGTGATGCCGATGTTTCGAGGTTAGAACGCTCCTCGTCAGCCATTTGCTGTATTTCGTGGTTCTAGGTTTCTCATGTTATTTTATGGGGTTGCAATTTTCTACTTGTAATTTTAGATTTCTAAATTTTCATATTTTGCAATTTTCTCAAGTTTAAAATTTTTTTTTATACATGAGCTGATTCTTACATTCTCAAATTTCTATTTTTAAAATCTAAATTAGACCTCACCTCAAGGCGCACCTCAAAATGTATCTAAAATATATACATAATATACACATATTTTTTGTGTTCATACAAAAGTTCTAAAATATCTTGAAACAAGTAGTATTACCCTTTTAGTCACAGGAAATAATTTTTAACAAACGACGTATGACATTTATCAAATTCGTGGTTTGTACGGACACTGAAGAGATTCTCCCTATTACGTATACGACTAGCAAGCGTTTCTACTAGATCTCTGAGTATCGTTCTTAAAATCCACTTTGCGTGCACTCGCATCTAGTGCAACGTTTCTGAAGATGCCTCCCAAGTGATGTTCACTGGTGGATCCTTCAGGACCCACTTTTGCGTATCTACTTTCATGGAAATGACTCGACTGACACATGTACTTCACTTGCTAACTCTTTACAGTCTCCTCTCTCAGAATTTTAATACAAATTCTGTTACATACGCATACATAGTCGAGTGCTATTTTTTGCTCATGATTTATCCTCCCCTTGTGTATTCATAACTCCATTTAAGATATTGCATATAATCTGAATTCGCATTGAGCAATTGTATGAGGTACTTCAACACTAAACCTTAGCATATGTGTACTTAATTTAAAATTGAAAATGAAAAGCTTGAAAAATAAATAACGAAACATAAATTAGTATACACATTTATTCTTTGCCTTGATGACAATCAATACAGTAGCGCGTAATCCAATTATAATTCTCATCAGTTGAAAACAACCTCTTTTGAACCACAAAAAAATGACTATCACTTCTGCGCTCGAGAAGTGACTCAGTCACCATTTTATTTAATACAATAATTTGAAACAAGCATTTCTTAACTGATTCTATAATATGACACGTGTGATGTATAAACAAAATGAAACAAACAACAGTGGAAATTATTAGTAAAGAAATAATAACCTCAACTGAATTCATTTAACTTTTTAACTAAGTTTTAAAGTTGCTGTTTGCAAACAGTCAAATTAACTTCGAGTACAAAGAGCTAATTTTCCGAACAGTCAAAAAGAAAAACAGAAAGTTTCCAAGAATTTCCGAAAGGGTTTTCAAATAACTTCACGCAACCTGTCAGCGAACCAATCTTGTCCTCCACAGGGAACATTTAACTGCATGCTTTCTTTTCGAGGCACCGAGTAATGCGCTCGAGAAGTGGCTTTATTCGTGTGGCCAGAAATAGCCCCGTACGGAGCCAGGAACAGTAAAAGCCCGGAAGCTACGAACGTTTTGATTGTCGAATATTTTTTCAATTCCTCTTTGCTCAGACGTTCTTTGGCTAATGTCTAGGTCCTGCTGTTTAAACAGAACTGACGCAAGAACGTCGATTTGGACCTGACTTCTTAACGTATGATTACGTTATTTGACGATTGGGACACGTTTTCGATTCGGTTTGGGCGAAAGTTTGCAGGGTGGTATTGGGAGGAACAGAGGTTTCTTTGTGTTTGAGTTTTAAAGAATTTGGTTTTGTTGTGGGGGGAGTGTTGGTGAGAATGTTTGTGTATTTAGGGATTTACGGATTTGGGGAGTATTTGGGGGTTTGTGGAACTCAAGATTTAGGAATTTGGGGAGTTTGGTATTTGGGGTTTGTGAAACTCAAGATTTAGGAATTTGGGGAGTAGGAAATTTGGGGGTTTCTGGAAATCAAAATTTAGGAATTTGGGGAGTTGGGAATTTGGGGGGTCGTGAAACTCAAGATTTAGGAACCTGGGGAGTTAGGTATTTGGGGGTTTGTGAAACTCAAGATTTAGGAATTTGGGGAGTAGGAAATTTGGAAGTTTGTGGAAATCAAAATTTAGGAATTTGGGGAGTTGGAAATTTGGGGCTTTGTGGAATTCAAGATTTAGGAATTTGGGGAGTTAGGTATTTGGGGGTTTGTGGAATTCAAAATTTAGGAATTTGGGAAATTAGGTATTTGGGGAGTAGGAGATTTAGGGAATGGGGAATTTGGAAGATAAGAAATTTGGAAGACAGGGAATTTGGGGAATAGGAAATACAGGAGATTGAGAATCAAAGGAATTTGGAATTTGGGGGTTGGGAATTAGTAAATTTGGAAATTTGGTAAATTGGAAATTTGGAAATTTGGAAATTTGGAAATTTGGAAATTTGGAAATTTGGAAATCTGGGAATTTGGGAATTTGGTAAATTGAAAATTTGAGAATTTGGGAATTTGGTAGATTGGAAATTTGAGAATTTGGGAATTTGGGAATTTGGTATATTGGAAATTTGGGAATTAGTAAATTTGTGAACTCATTAATTTAAGAATTTAAAAATTTAAAAACTCGATAATTTACTAATTTATAAATTTATCCTCCTCCCTCATACTCTCACTAACCACATCATACATTCCTTACAAACACCCCCCAAATTAAATAACCAACCACAACATCATTCCATACAAACCTTGAATCCTCAACATTAACTCAACAAACACGACAAAACGCAGATAAAGACGTCAAAGAATCAAACCATCATCATGAGGTGTCAACTCACAACTATTGATACGAAGCGTGCATCATGAAGATAAGGATATTGTATTAACATTTGACTTGTATCTTGTCGCTGGACCACTGACTAATTGATGTATTCATTAATTCATGATAATGCTACATGATTTGCTGTTCATAGACGCCCTGCAAGACGCTGGACTGCATAATCTATTGAATGTATCCAATGTATGGAGGTAATGTGTAATCAATAGTGCATTATACGTAATTACTAATGCAACACATCATACGAATGTGAAGGGATCAACGTCAAATACCGATCAATTAGGAGTGATTATAATGTCATGGGTATTATAATAATTCTCTGTATTATATTATGTTAAATCGATTTGACAACTCCTTTCATTATAACCTCAAAATTTTAGATGTCTGATCAGAAAAAATTTAAATTCTTTTAGATGCGCCAAAAATGAATCTAAAGTGAACAAAGATGAATGCTAACTGAAACAACACAAGGGATTTCTCTTGAAATTCAATACTGTGTTATTTGACAGTAAAAATGATACGAAACAATAAAGAAAATACAGAGATACAATAGTAGTAAGATGCAGTCTCGTTATATGGCCCAGATACCAAATTCTTTTAGATCCTCCAAAAACGAGTCCAAAATCAGCAAAGTGGGATACTAAACAAACCAAAACAAGAATAAAGTAATTTCTTCTGAAAAATACATGATGGACTCCGTCAAACGACACATCTCGTTTTGAGCACGCATCCACCTAACTGGAGAGGAAAATGGTGCTCGAAGTTTCAGTGTTATCAAACCCCGCGAATGCCGCTCAAGTAAGAGTCCTATCTTTCGTAACGTCAACAGCACTTTAGGGGTTATCCACTCTTTTTTCCCTCTTACGTAATCTACGCGTCTCTTCGTTTCTCTTTTCTTACCTGTCACCGGAATAACCCTCTTTCCTTCCAACCCTTAACGTTCGGCTCGAGTGCTCTCCATCCACGGGGTTATCTTTCACTCTGCATAAGGATTTACACGTGTTCGACACGTTTTAGAAATCCACCTGTACTTTTTGTTGTCAAGCTTTTTGTTATCAAGTATAGTACTCCAAACTTGTGTCATGGTCGAGGTCAGACTTAATTCACAAAGTAGATGAGTCTCAATAAAATTGTAAGAGGAGTTTGTGACAAATACATTTATTATAAATAGTACATAAATGATACATATGTACACATGTGACATATTCAAACAATGTGTTTATCTGAATTACTTATAAAATTGCAACTGGAGTTTGTAACAAATACATTTATTATAAGTGGTACATAAATGATACATATGTACACATGTGACATATTCAAACAATGTATTTATCTGAATTATTTATAAAATTGCAACTGAAGTTTGTGACAAATATATTTATTACAAGTAGTAAATAAATGATACATATATACACATGCGACGTATTCAAACAATGTATTTATCTGAATTATTTATAAAAATCAAGAGAAATGTCGAACTACATAGAAGTACAAATGGTTAACATTTCACATTTCCAACTCCGCCCTCAGAGTAATAACATATCCTTTAAGTAGACCCTTAATCCCACTAATAAACTTGTTAACGTAATCCGGCAATAAACACAAAGTAATTGTAATATCGTACAGAGTAATCCTTGCTTGGCAAAAACTCGATAAGCTTTAACGATCAGATCCAGCGAGACACGGCTACTTATTCCGTGAAATAAGAACGCACGGTATTAAGGTGTACGTAGGACGGTGTTTGCGAAAAACAAGAATAAACAAGGTTGTTGGGAGGATCACGCGATACACTTAACCCTGTCCGTTTCTTTGGCGCGATAAAGAACGGCCCCGGGGACCTTCCGAGGATTCCAAAAGACGTTCCCGGAAGAGGCTTCGTGAGAAAAGAAAGGTCCCTCGGAAGCTTTTTAAGCTCCGAAAAAAGTATGAGACAGTCGACTGCGTGAGAAACGGGACATGGTTGTTTCGGTATTAACATACGCGCCCCGAATTCCCGAAGGAACTTACCGACGGGGTAAAATATCGCCCCTCTTAGCGACGAGATCTCTCTTTATGCGATGGCTTGGGAAATGCACTCTTTATCAAATTTTATATTATCATACTGTTATAATTCGGATTTTAGTCAAATATTAGCAGTGATCTGTTATCAAATTTGTACAGATTTATTCAAAATTTAGTTCACTGAATACAAAGTACGCGTTGAATATCCACGCGCTGGATTACTATGCGTTGGATATCCACACGCTGGATTACTACGCGTTGGATATCCACACGCTGGATTACTATGCGTTGGATCTCCACACGCTAGACTACTACGCGTTGGATATCCACACGCGTTAGATTACCACGCGCTGGATTATTACACGTTGGATTACCACGCGTTAAATTACCACGCGCTGGATTATTACGCGTTGGATTACCACGCGTTAGATTACCACGCGTTGGATTATTACGCACTGGATTACTACGCATCGGTTAACTACGCGTCAGATTACCACGCGTTAAATTCCTACGCGTTGGATTACTACGCGTTGAATATCCACGCGCTGGATTACTACGCGTTAGATATCCACACGCTGGGTTACTACGCGTTGGATATCCACACGCTGGATTACTACGCGTTGGATATCCACACGCTGGATTACTACACGTTGAATTACTACGCATTGGATATCCACACGCTGAATTATTATGCGTTAGATTACCACGCGCTGGATTATTACGCGTTGAATTACCACGCGTAGGATTATTACGCGTTGCATTACTACGCGTAGAATTACCACGCGTTGGATTATAACACGTAGGATTACCAAGCGTTGCCTTACTACGCGTTGGATTACTACGCGTTGAATATCCACACGCTGGATTACCACGCATTGCATTACTACGCGTTGGATTACTACGCGCTGGATTAGTACGCATTGGATTACCACGCATTGCATTACTACGCGTTGGATTACTACGCGCTGGATTAGTACGCATTGGATTACATTACCACGCGCTGGATTATAACGCGTAGGATTACCAAGCGTTGCATTACTACGCGTTGGATTACTACGCGCTGGATTAGTACGCATTGGATTACCACGCATTGCATTACTACGCGTTGGATTACTACGCGCTGGATTAGTACGCATTGGATTATTCCGAAGCTGCCGTTCTCGCGTCTGCGCATGCGTAATCCTCGCACTCCGTGTTTTTCCTTAATAATTGAAAAACTAAGCTTCAACCAGCATTTTGGTAAAGGAAAAAGTTGTTCAGAATCACCACAGCTACCACCCCTTAAAATAATGCCCACCAGTAGCCGAACACCTTCTATAATATTTAGTATTTAAATTTCGTAGTTAAACAATACTTAAATTTATTTTATTCAATAATACTATGTATAATTTACACAATTATAAATAATTGAACAGTGCTGATTTAAAAAATAAATATAATATAAATAAATGCAAACAAAGCAAATGTCATATCGCCACTTCCAGCAAAAAGGCAGAAAGAGGCAAAGAGAATAATTGCGTAAATATTCGACACTTAACGTCCATCCACCAAAGCGAATCAGAGTGAAATAAAAGAAAGAGCAGCGTTTCATTCACACGTCGATTACGCTGTTCGCGACAATATATCGTTACTTTAAAACAGCACCGAAACCGGAACTTCACGGTTGAGCCGATGATTTTCCGGCCACTCTCCTCGTCGCTCGTCAATTCGAACGAATAAAATTTTCATTTGCATCACTGCATTTCCACCCCCACCGCCGTTATTTATTTATTTTTTTTCCCTGCCAGCTAGTTCCTGTTTCGAACAAAACGGACGCGACTCGTTTACGAGCGTCATACGAGTCGCTAGTTCCCATTGCAATTGAAGGGCGGTCAAAGCCACATGTACAAACGTACACGTATATCGTTATTATTCCATCGCGGCGGAAATTCAATTCGAGACCGTTCTTGACCACCGTTCGCAACTAATTATTACGTGAAACTCAATGAACGCAATTTCCCGAACGTTCGCGTAATATCATGCGAATTCGTGCGACGAGATGATTGACCCCTAAAACATCTTGCGAAAGATCCCAACGAAAAACTCTTATTTCCCTGGATTCTCGTATTAGAAACAAGTTAACATCTGTATAGATAAGTTCAAGGTAAACTATGATATAACTGATCTTTTTTTAAAATTACGTGTGAACGAGTACGTGAGTCATTGTGTATGGTTATAGAATCGAGAGCCATTAATTCCAGACTACGGATCTGGAGAAGGCGAATATTTAGCTTTATGTGTTATTGTTCGAACAATGCTAAAGAGATTACATAAATTCTCGAACGGTGGGAATGTTACGGTAAAAATAAGACTCGAAGATTATTTGCAGCAGTCTATAATAAGATTATTAGAGGTGTGATATGGCTTGAAGGTGGAATATAAATCCATATGAATCAGAAGTATGGATTACAGCTGTATTTAACTAAGGCTTGAAATTCCAAAGATTGATTAAGTGAATCGCGTGGAAATTTCGAAATTTCCGAAATTCCAAAATTCTAGAGTTGCAGACCCCCAAAATTACAGAATTACAGAATTCCAAAATTCTAGAATTCAAAAATTGCAGAATTCCAAATTTCCAAAATTCCGAAATTCCAAAATTCCGAAATTCCGAAATTCCAAAATTCCAAATTTCCGAAATTCCAAAATTCTAGAGTTGCAGACCCCCAAACTTACAGAATTACAGAATTCCAAAATTCTAGAATTCAAAAATTGCAGAATTCCAAATTTCCAAAATTCCGAAATTCCAAAATTCCGAAATTCCGAAATTCCAAAATTCCAAAATTCCGAAATTCCAAAATTCCAAATTTCCAAAATTCCGAAATTCCAAAATTCCAAAATTCCAAAATTTCAAAATTCCAAATTTCAAAATTACCAAAATTCCTAAATTCCAAATTTGCAAACCTCCAAAATTCCAAACCCTCAAAATCTCAAAATTCTAAAATTCCAAACCCCCAGAATTCCATAATCCCAAAATCTCAAATAATAACCCCAAATATCACATCCAAATTCCCACGAACATCCACCCTATTTCATTCAAACATCTAAAATTCCCAGCATCACACAAAAACCGCATCCCAATTAAAGAAAATTCGTGGAAAATTAAAAATCAAGATATGCAGTCCCAATAAATATTCCATGAGAGCTATATTTCTCACTTTTTCCCGGGAACACGTTCCAGCAGCATCTGGCACCGAATTTTTAACCAGTTACTCGCTGGAATATTAATTTCGCCTTTTCTTTCCGGGGCTGATGGCATCGGTCGATTTCTCGAAGAAATACGAGAGCAGTCGCGAGCCCTGACGAGAGCTTCGAGAAAGGATTTATAGGAGCCCACCAGAGGGGACTTGGTCGATGAAATGTTTGACAATAATCGTCACGCGGCATCTTTCAACGATATTATCTGTTATATTCTTCCATTCGTACCTGTTCACGGGCTCACCTCGGAGAACGTTTCTGATTAAGGCTGGAGATACAGTAACCGTTAATTCTCCAGGTGGAGTTGGACCTCTCGGGTCTCGTCAAGTGAAACGGCAATGTCACTTGATATCTTTATGCACGTATTTTGCAAAAGGTTGTTTCTGGAATGTAAATCTTGAGCAATGTTCTATTATCTGCAAGGTTTATTATGTTCAAGGTTCTTCATTTTTTTCTCAGGATATTAGTTATGGAAATGATCAATGCATACGGAAGTAGCACTTTTTGTATTGAAGCTGTTTAACATTACCTTAATTAAGGCAAATAATTTATTTTTATATTGCAAATTTCTTTCTGCATTCTTCACTTTTGTGCTTGTACATAACCTCTATATTAATGTATTATAAAAGTGCATGCATTACATATGGTACATTTCATGCAAACATAGTGTGCACATAAAAACACAATATTGACAAAATATTTCAAGTCGTCAAAATCAAAGAAATGAAGCTAATAAGCAAAATATTTAATTATTCACTTCTAACCTCTTTGGTTCTATATAACTTACAAAAGTAGATGCATTACATATGGTACATCTTATGCTAACATCTTGCGTATATAAAACCACAATATTCACAAAATATTTCAAGTAGTCAAAATCAATTAAATTAAGCAGATAAGCAAAATATTAAATTATTCACTTCTAACCTCTTTGGTTCTATATAACCTCCAAAAGTAGATGCATTATATATGGTACATTTCATGCGAACATCTTGTGCATATAAAACCACAATATTTACAAAATATTTCAAAGTTGT